GAGAGTGGTAGCGAGCGGCAAACCTTCGGGAACAGCAACGACGACAACGGTGACGGCAATAATGAGGATGTCGATGAACTCTTTTCCGCGCTCATCCCCGGTCCGCTCTGGATGTTTCCTAAAGTTGACAAAGAAGCGAATCATGAGGGCGATGAAGAGGAGCAGACCTGCTGCTGAGCCTGCATAGGCGATGATCTCGGCGAGGCGGTTGAGCTTGGCTTGCAGCGGAGTCTCCTCCGCTTCGGTACGCAGCGCCATCATAAGCTTGCCGTTGAAGCTGCTGGGTCCAACAGCGATGACGACATACTCTCCGGCTCCTTCGATGACGCGCGTTCCCGAGATTAAGAAGCAATCGCGCTTGAGTAATTTCTGATTGGCGCCCGTAGCAGAGGCGGCCTCCTGTCCCTCCAGATCTTTGAGCGCTTCGTCGTATGGCACCTTTCGAATCAAATCAGACTCGCCGGTAGCTCCCGATTCGTCGCACTTGATGTTGTGACCGCGCAGCAGGACACCGTCCGCTGGCATGATCTCTCCAGGCTCGATCTGCAGGACGTCGCCGACGACTACGTCGTGAATGCTCATCAAAGCTGGTCGTCCACCACGGATGACCTTGACGTCGCGTTCCTCTTTCTTTGCGTTTAGCTTCTTGAACTGCAATTCCTTTTGGTAATCGTTGACCGAGCCTACAATGTCGACAATAGCCACAGCAATCAGAATGGCCACTCCTTCCACCCAATCAATCTGTGGCGCATCGCACGTCGATCTTCCAGGTGGCGGGTCCAGGCACGCCACTTGTTCTCTATCAGCGCCAAAATCCGTGTAGAGGCCGAGGGCAAGAGACACGGCAGCTGCAATGCACAAGACGATCTGAGGAAGACGATGTATGGATGAGCACGTTGCGCAGAGTCTCTGCGTTAGTCACTTCGACTCACCAGAATCTTGTCCTGCAAGGTGAGCCACATGAGCAGCAAAAGACTCTTTGACTTCTTCTGAGGAATCACGTTGTGGCCGTAAACACGCTGCCTATCCTCCAATGTGGCGTGCACAAAGTCGGCGGGCCTGCGCTGATCGCGCTTGTTGCTGGTCTCTTTAGCAGCTGCAGCCTCGACATCGTCTGATTGCTCAGCGTGCTTGATGCCAGCACCGGTATCAAGACCAGCATGCTCGTCCGTGCCCAGTGCATTGAGCAACCCTTGGATTCCGCCCAGATCTCGCAGCTTCTTGATGCTCTTCGGGTCCACCAGCTCGCCCAGCTCGATGGGCCTGTGAGGGAAGGGGGTAGGGTCCATGACGTATTGACGTTGCTTTTCAGCTTCGATGGCTGCCGCAGCTGCCTTTCTCCTTCCAGCTCTGGTCATGCTGGAGGTGCTAACTTTGAAGCGTCCCCACCAGCCCAAATTCTCTGCGTTTGCCTCGCCATATCCAGAGCCAAGATGAGTGCCGGCACGAGCATCCGCCTCGTCTGATCTCTCGGTATCGTCCCCAGTAGCGCCATGGGCGGGGCTCTTGTTTGTGGATGAGAGGGCCTTGTGCGTCTCGGCAGGAGAGCTGGCGGTTGCATCATCACCAAAGTTGAACTTGACCTGGCTGCTAGCGCTAGCTGGAACAGTGGTGGCTGAAGGAGGTGCTTTGCTGTCATCAAGTCCGTTAGCATCTCCGCTGGCGTCAGTAAAGGCGCTGGCGACGCTCAATTGTCTGCCGTGCGATGCCCGAGGGTCATTGTCGCGAAGAGCCAAAGACGTCTTGTAGGCTGGTGCGGGACTGTCCGGCCCAAAGCTGGTTTCCGACGTGGCGCTGAGCGTGGGAGATGTGGGAACAAAGGCAGTCGATGCAGACGATGCGGATGCAGGGATTTGACCGGCGGATCCTGGTGCTGCCAGCATGCCAGCCGCGCTTCCAAGACTAGCATTTCTGGCGTGACCACCCGCCTGACCTAGACTGGTGATGCTAAAGTTGCGACCGTGGCTCTGTGCATGCGTGCTGTTGCTGCTACTGCCATGCGAGTCGCTTGGTGCCACTCCACCTGCTCCGCTTGTTGGAGGAATGGCGAAATTGGCTGCTCCACTCCCGCCTTCCTCAGCCTGGATCTGGATGTCTGGTGTCGGAGTGGTGATGATGGTTGGCAAAGGCGGGGGCGCGGTCTTGCCGACGCCGGCCTCGTCCTCGGGCGAGCGTGAGTGGCTCATGGTTATGGAACGGCGCTCTGTGCGTGCTGTGCGGTATGTGCTAGCTGGGCGGGCCAAGCCAATTCGACCTGGAACCAGAGAGGTCTGCTCGTTGCCGCCTGGACGAATGTGTCACCTGGCTGATCGAAATTGGGTGTTTGCCATGGATGATGTGCCTGATGGACGCTGGCGGGAGAAATGAAGATTGCAAGAAACACGCTTGCTGAAGGATGTGAGCAGAGGGAGAAAACAGGTGAGACGGTGAGGCGCTGTGGTATAAACGCGTATAAAATAGTCTTCGGTGTGGTTGTTGGTGCGATGTGGGCGGAGGTGAGGTGAAGAAGAGGTGAGAATGGCTTAAATGGTTTGTTCGCCGCCTCGATGACAGCGCGCGCTCGCAAGAAAAGCTTGTGATGAAGGGCGCCCGGCGTCTGCGTGATTGAAACGGGTTGTACGGGGGCGCAAGTGCTGTTGAGATGGCGATGGTTATTAATGTAGTTACGATCGAGTCGTGAGTCGAGTGAATCACGAGGAAAGAAGAGCCAAGACTCTTGAGGAGCTTCTTTGTGTACGAGTTCAAAACTTCCTTGCGAGGGGCCGCATCGGGTGCGACGTCTCCCTACCTGCCGGTGCTGCCTTGTATAGCGACGAGAAGC